CTAGTGATGAATGAGGTTGAGCCCATTTTCACCTATTTATTAGGTGTTTATGGATTAGAGCTTTTGGCAACTCCTTACTCATCTGATTCACATTGAACTTGCAGCCAAATAAAATATAGTCTCTGACAGAGGATGCTGTTTAGTCACATCTCCCCTATTGACTTCAATTGGATTTTGGGTTCTCAGAGCAGGTTCAAACATTCTTAATAATAATGACAGCTAATATTTATTGAGTGCCTATTGTGTTCCAGGCACTGAACTATGTGTTTGACATGAATAATGTCTCTTAATCTTCACAACCAGCATATTAGCTTGATACTATTAATATCCTCCTTTTACATAAGATGATGAAACTAGGGTTGGGGAGGGTAAGTAACTTAACCTAAGGTCTCACAACTAACAAGTAGATTCAAATCAACACCCTTAGCCACTATAACAAACTGCCTCGCAAAGTTGGAAACATGTGACTACAATTGAAAAAAAACCTTTAAAAATGGTTAAGTACTGAATAAAAAAATGGATATGTAACTGTCAAATGGAGAAAAATCATTGCAAAGTATGACAAAGGATGAATGTCCTTAACGTGCGAAGAGTTTTTACAAATTAAGGAAAGGACACGCATCTCAATTAAAAAACGGTGAAAAGTTTCTTGAGTCAGGTAAATCTGGAAAATTCTGCACAAGTTTTCATGTTCTTGTACCCCTAGGAGGTATATGAGCAAATTTACGACTCTAAGAAGTTCTGCACTAAAAACCTACTTTAACATGGAATTTTCGTATTTGACTAAAATAGTCTTTAGCATAGTCCTTTGGAACAGACTTTGAAACGTGTTGAACTCCATAATAACCACTGCTTCCTCTGGTTTCTAGTCTGGTAAAACTTTCCACAAAGGAAATGAAATTAGTTTTGTCCAGGGTTTCTTAACCTTGACGCTCTTGACATTTTGGGCTGGATAATTCTTTGTTGTAGGGGGCATTTTAGGGTGTTCAGCAGCATCCTTGGCTCCCACCAGGTAGATGCCAGATGTCCCTAGCACTTCCCTCACCCCCAGTTGTGACAACCAAAGCTGCCTCCAGACATGACCAAATGCCCCTGGGGGAAGAACACCACCCTCTTAAATTGGTCTAGCCTTACTGGTTTCTTAGAACTCCTGGTGTGTCCCACGATTACCTCCTAACTATCTAAGTGCTCCCCAAACTGCACAGCGTTTCACTATATTTTGATTTCTGTGCCTTGTGACATCCACTATTCTTTGTTTTAATAAAGAGGGTATTGGTCCATCTCTTGTCTTCGAGTCTTTCTTGTTTGTTAGAACTCCTTAAATCTCCAGGCACACCAAACCATGCAGTTACCCTGACAGGGAACTTCTTTCCATCCCTTAGGTGGAATTAAGTTCCTTCCTTCAATCTCCACACTCCCTGCACAGCCTTCTATCAGATCCTCAGCACATCTTATACTTATTTACTTATGTGGTTGTCTCCTCAGTTTCTTGAGAGCAAGGACTGGGTCCTATTCATCCTCCGATTCTTAGCACAGAGTAGGTACGAATTCATATGTGTGAACAGAGAAGCAAAATATAATTGAGGAGGGTCAGGAATTTCAATCATGGGATCCTGGGTGGATTTCCAGTAAGACTGAGTTAATTGACAGCCTCTTCACCAGTTTCCTCCTAGAAATGTTCTCCTTGCTTCTCTCCAGACAGACAATCTTCCTTCTGGAGAGAAACTGGAGGTACTGTAGAAGATACCGTTCTGTTTTTCTCCCCCTCAGCCACGAATATGACATCATTTGCTCAGTCGGCATGTCCAGGCCGTTGCTGATACTTTTCTCATTCCAGACAGAAGGAGAAAAGTCCTTTCCCCTTGATCTCAGCATTTTTGCAAACCTCAGTTTATTCCAGCGGGTGACACTTCTTATCCTCGGAGATGTGGCCTCCTTTCCATGTTCTGGGAGTTCCTTTTGGGCTTGAGTTTCTCAGAGGCATCCCCTCCCCCGACATTGCGTCAGTCTCTTTAAGTATTTCCTTCTTTTTATTTCCTGTCTGGGATTATTTTAAGCTTTAGAAACGGAATTTAATTCTTGGGAACCCTCTAACTTTACCAAAGCTGTCCAAGATGGCGACAGTAGGCGGAAAGAAAGGGACAGGTTTGAGAAACATTAACAAAAGGGCAAGTGACAAGACCTGATGACCATTGGGACACAGGGGAGGGGAGATGACTCCCAGATTTCTGTTTCAAGACAACGGAGGGACTGGTGGTTCCTGTTGTAGAGATGGTCCCAGGAAGAGGAGGAGGATAAAGATGAGGAAGGAGGGCGGGCTGTCTGAAAACAAAATGGACATGGTCTGGGAAGTTCAGAGTCGGAGGTTTCCATGGGGCATGCAGTGGAGATGTAGAGGAGGTAACTGGGTATAAGAGCCTGATGCTCTGCATAGGAAATGTGACTGGGGGGCTGTTGGTGTGTAGATGGGAGCTGAAGCTGAAAGAGCAGACGAGAGCTCAGATGGCGTGTGCTGATGGAATAGATGCGGCTAAAGATGCAGCAGGAAGGAAAGCCCTTGAAGGAGACTGTGAAGGATGGGTCAGAGAGAGAGCAGAGAGCCAGGAGAGGGGCATGAGTTTCAGGGCAGAAAGGATGGCCAGCAGGTTTAAATGATGTAGAAAGGTAAATTCAGCTATGGACAGAAAAGTGACAGCTGAATTAGCAGCAGAGGGTCATTGAGGACCATGGGGAGGGCAGCCTCAGGAGTGGAGGGAGCTATAGCCAGATGACAGGGGATGGAGGAGGGGTTGGGAGAACAGGCAGTGGGGAGCAGACTTAGGGTGGCATCTGAAGAGGGAGTTACTCATTTATCCACTCGACCAACAAACTGAGAGGCTAGGGGTACACCAGGAGCCATTCGGAGCCGTAGGTGCAGTAGTGGGCAAACAGGTAAAAATCTCCGCCCTCACAATGTGTCCTTTTCAGGGAGAGGTAGTATGGCGGGAGGATTAAAAAAATTTTTTTTCTTCCAGTTTTACTGAGATATAATAGACAAGGATTCATTTTAAAGGTGGTTATAAGAAGTATCATTGTTTGTGCAAACTATTACATTTAGAATGGATAAACAACAAGGTCCTAATGTATAGCACAGGGAACTATCCTCAGTACCCTGTGATAAACCGTAATGGAAAAGAATATGAAAAAAGAATGTCTATATGTGTATAACTGAGTCACTTTGCTCTACAGCAGAGATGGGCACAGCATTGTAAATCAACTAGATTTCAATTAAAAAAAGTGTCATCATTTGTCAGATGAGGCCAAGAGAAGTTAGATGGCAACCTGCTCCACTTCACACAAAGGTCAGAGCTGAGGTCACGCCCTGACCTGCCTGACTCTTTCCATCCTTTGCTGCTTGAAGGGGTTGAAGTTTAGGTGGAAAGAGGTGATGCAGAAGGCATAATGGGGTGGGAAGAATGAAGGTGCAGGGTGTAGGGTTATTCGTGGCTGGGCTGGGCCTACACAAAGCAAGGTTTCTACTGGCCCCTGCTGTCCTTTATCTAGGACGCCCGGGCTGGGCCTTGTGCATGGGCTCAGGTCCTCCAATGGGGACGGCAGGCACTGAGATCCACATGTTCTCACACGGTTCTGCCTGAGCCAGAAGCTTGAGAGGTGGCCTGTGGTAGCCCCCGACACTTCCCCATCCCCACTCCCCTTATTTAGGAGTGAATCTCCAGAAGGCCAAGCACTGATCAGTATCCCTCCATGAGATTTATGCAGAGATGCTGGAAAGAGACATGGTCTTCCTTCCTCTGGGACGGTGAGCTTAGGGACCAGAATGGGCCACCCACAGCCATCTATCTCGACTATTTGAAGAAACAACAAGTAGAGATAAACAGAGCCAAGAGCTCTGATATCATTTGAGCTCCTGGATCCAGCTCTGCCTGAATCTATCAAGAACTATTCCAGACTTCCTGATCCTTGAACCAATGAATTATCTTTTGCCCCCTAATTTGATTTGCGTTTCTACACTTGCAACTGCAAAAATCTGACAAGTACAATTTGCCATAATATGTTGTAACTGAGCAGGACCCTATAAGGCCTTCCCAGGACAGACTCCTCGCCCATATCTTCTGCTGTAGCTCCTCTCTGAAGGACCTAGATAATAGTATCTGATGCACACTTCTTGGGTTGTTTTACAGATGCTAAAACCACCACCAAATGGAAGAAATGAACTATCTGATGATCATGAGTCCCCAGACCTACTGGTGCCTAAGGACTGATCATGTTAACCACTCTGTTACCTCACCATCAACCAATCAGAGAATTGTGCATGAGCTGATGACATTCCCTGCGACCCCCTCCCTCACCTGGCCTTTAAAAATGCTCTGCTGAAGCCTTTCAGGGGGAGTTCGGGGTTTTAGAGCAGGAGCCACCCGTCCTCCTTATACTGGCACCTTTACAATAAAAGCTGCACTTTCCTTCACCACAACCCAGTGTCAGTAGATTGGCTTTACTGCACGCGGGTGAGCGGACCCAAGTTTGGTTCGGTAGCAGCGTCAACTGTGACTATGTAAAATATGTTATTTCCTTTTGTAGAAACTGACTCCAGGGGCTTCCTCCTGGGAGCCATATGCATTTGCCACCTTCCAGGTGCTAACGCTGCAGGTGATAAAGAGATGAGTAAGACATGAGCTTACACGTAGCTGTGGAGATGATGACAGGAACAGAAGAATCACCATCTGCAAAATGCTTTACACCTATTTCTCTGAATTCACAATGACAGGAAACAATTAGCCAGGTAGGGTTTGGCTAGTATGGCCTGAGCTGGAGAGATGCTCCGTGGGAGCTCAGAGAAAGGTGGGCTGGGGAGGAGAGGGAGTGAATTTTGGTCTCCTCTAATACTCTGATCTGGGTGGCTGGGCTCAGGTGGGGGTGATGGGGGATACAGGGAGAGGAGAACAGGTAGTCTGGGGAAGCCGTGTGAGTATTAACATAAGCGGAAGAGCTGCTTCTCATACCTTTCCCATTCCGGCGTGGGCGTGTCCCAGCTTGACCACCACAGGGAAGTGTGGGGCTGTGAGCTGAAAGAGACAAGAAGAAATTACTCATTAGCATCCCAGAGCATCACCACCAAGACATTGTTCACTGCCTGTTCTGTAGAAAGGTATGGTCATCTGATATCACCAGCAATCCCCAAAAGAATGCTTGGACAGATGGTCATCTCTCTGTGGCTTAAACACCCTAAATGACATTGCTTTCAGCTTCCAAAGGAAGCCCCGAGCTCCTAAAACCAGGCTGCCTGGGGCATCCACCAACCTGGGGAGAATGCAGAGCAGAGCAAACTGACTGGCTTCAAATCCTGGCTTTACCACTTGTGCAACCTCAGATAAGCTACCACATGGATCTGTGCTTCAGGGTCCTCATCTGTAAAATGGGGATGATGAGTATCCATCCCACAGGGTTGCTATGAGGATTAAATGAGTCATTACATATGAAGGCTTTACATTGTAAACACTCAATGAATGGCAGCTTAAATATTCCTGTCTTGGCTCTGCCTTGTGTGATTCCCGACAACAGCCTTCATGTATCTGGAAACTCTCATTCCCTCCCCCAAGCTCTCTCCAGGCCACGCTGTGAGTTCTCTTAATGATAGCGGTCATGCTACAGCACAAGCATTTATGGGCTGCGCTGTGTGGGTGCTGTGCTGAGCAACTGCCCTGGGTCATCTCCTTCAGAGAGCAACGGGGCAGCAGCCTGTCCTGGTTGGTTCCCTGTTGCATCCCCAGCCATTAGAACACTGCCTGACCCAGGGAAGGTGCTCGATATGGAATCTGTGCCTTCATCAGTCCTCTGAGCAAGACCTACGAGGCATGCATGCCTCTCCCTATGATACAGAGGAGGAGAGGGGCTCAAATGGTTAGGTGCTCCCCCATGCCCACGCTTACTCAGCTAGCAAGTGAGGGGACCAGGTTTGAACCTAGGCTATGCATTTCCTCCTCATTCTGTTCATGTGTTGTTTGAGATGGGTTTGCTTGGTGTCTAGAAATATATTTGGAATTGCTTGAGGGCAAGGGTTATCCCTTCTCGTTATTTAGTAATAATACCACTCCTCTGACTTGAGCCAGCCCTACCCAGAGGTAATCACGTCCCACTCTCTGTGCTGTGCAGTTGTCTCTTCTGGTGCCTGTCACTCTGTCCTGGATTGCCCCCCGACACTCTGGACGCTTTGAGAGGAGGAACCCAGCTCTTTCCTCCTGGTGCCCAGCACCTAGTCTGACACTTAGGAGTGGCTGTAGCTGCGGCAGAAGGGTCTGCTGTGGGTCACAATCCCACGGGATGGACCTCATCTCATTTTACCACCACAATGGTCCCATGAGGCGAGCAGGGAAGGTATTCTTGTTACCATTTCACAGGCAGAAAATTGAGACTCAAGGAAGCTGCTGGGAAGGGGTGGCGCTGGCTCTTGAACTTAGGTCTGTCAGACTTCAAGCCTGATGTGAATGGTTTCCTCTAAGACCTAGTACAAGGGCTTCCTGCAGTACGTGCTGAATAAAAAATTTTCTCCCTGATTTTAGGCTAAAATTTATCATATCCTGGTGTCTAGAGTTAACAAATGTATCTATTTAAAAAGGGGCAATATTTATTTTTGATTCCAAAAGCAACATGTACTCATTATAAAAAGTTTGTAAAATATAATAAAGTTCTATGTTGTTATGTACAAAGAAGACAATAAAAATCACCCTCAAAATTTGAGCAGTTTTGGTGTATTATCTGGTGGTCTTTGTTTTTTTTTTCAATCTAAATTTTTTCTTTTGATTTGTTCTGTTCTCACAAAATTGGGAGTATGGTGCATACCCAATTTTGCTCGTTGCTCTTTCCGCTTAATGTTATAAGTGGTAAGCAATTCCTGGCAGTAATTACTTGTCAGTTTAAGAGTTATTATGGAATATTTCACATATGAAAGAAGACTTAAAGAGCAATATTGTGGACATTATCTAGCTTAAGAAATAAGCCATTGTCCAAACAGTTGAAGCCCCTGATGTACTTCTTTCTTACCAAATTTCCTTGTATTTATTCATATTTTAACTATTACATATGATTCCCAGTCAATATACATTACACGTGTTAAACTTTATGTAAGTGGCATCAAAAGAACCTATTCTTATCGGGAGATTGGGATCGACATATATACGCTATTGATACCACGTATAAAATAGATAACTAATGAGAACCTACTATATGGCACAGGGAACTCTACTCAGTACTCTGTGGTGACCTAAATGGGAAGGAAATCTAAAAAAGAGGGGAGGGCTTCCCTGGTGGCGCAGTGGTTGAGAGCCCGCCTGCCGATGCAGGGGACGCGGGTTCGTGCCCAGGTCTGGGAAGATTCCACGTGCCGCGGAGCAGCTGGGCCCATGAGCCATGGCCGCTGAGCCTGCGTGTCCAGAGCCTGTGCTCCGCAATGGGAAAGGCCACAACAGTGAGAGGCCCGCGTACCACAAAAAAAAAATAAAAAAAATAAAAAAGAGGGGATATATGTATACATATAGCTGATTTACTTTGCTGTACAGTAGAAACTAACACAACATTGTAAAGCAACTATACTCCCCTAAAAAATTTAAAAAAAAAGAATCTATTCTTTTTTTAAATAATTTAAATTTGACCCTCTACTTTTAAAAAAATCTAAATACATAAGCTTTTTAAAAAATGTATTTTATTTATTTATTTATTTTTGGCTGTGTTGGGTCTTCGTTGCTGCGTGTGGGCTTTCTCTAGTTGCGGCGAGCGGGGGCTACTCTTTGTTGTGGCACGCGGGCTTCTCATTGCGGTGGCTTCTCTTGTTGCAGAGCACGGGCTCTAGGTGCGCGGGCTTCAGCAGTTGTGGCTCGCAAGCTCTAGAGCGCAGGCTCAGTAGTTGTGGCACATGGGCTTAGTTGCTCCTCGGCCTGTGGGATCTTCCCGGACCAGGGATCCAACCTGTGTCCCCTGCATTGGCAGGCAGATTCTTAACCACTGCGCCACCAGGGAAGCCCCCCCACCCCCCGCCAAAAAATCTATTCTTTTACAACTTCGGGGTACATCATGTTTGTGAGGCTCATGTATGTTGATGTATATAGCTCAGATTTATGTTTAACTACTGCAAAGTATTCCACTTTATGAACACTTTGCCATTTGTTCATTTCCTGCTGATGAACATTTAGGTGATTTCTGTTTTTTCCAATTATAAACAATACTAGTAGGGGAATTTCTCCAGGGCACACACACCGGAGCAGAATTGCTGGGGTTGGGCAATGCTTGTCTCAGCTTTGCTAGATATTGTCAAATTGCTCTCCTAAGTGGTTGTACCTGCTTACGCTCTCACGGACAGGAAAGAGAGCCCAACACTTGAGGTCGAAAGACTTAAATTTTACCAACCCAAGGGCTATGAAGTGGAATGAATGGGCGCATTTTCACCAAGTGGCTGTTGTTCCCCGGCAGCATCGTCACACCCAGCCATTCACCCACAGACCCTAGATATCGACTCCCCCTCCCCCAGCAGTCCAAGAACTGCCCAGGTCACTACTGGGGCTTCATCTCCATCACATTTTAAGGTGAAGCTTGAGGTGAGGGGAAACGTTGTGCTCTCTCTTCCTCTCCATCCCTCCCAGCCTGATCATTTCACCACACGCTGACAGGTACTGGAAAGAATTGAATGTTGGAGTTAAACTTACTCTCTGTTTGACCTTGGACTAGATATTTAACCTCTCTGAACCTTAGTGCTCTAATCTGCAAAATGGGGACAATAATGGCCAACTCACAGGATAACTGGGGGAAGAAGAAATGACATAAAGAATGTAGGGTTCCCCTGGTGGTGCAGTGGTTGAGAGTCCGCCTGCCGATGCAGGGGACACGGGTTTGTGCCCCGGTACGGGAAGATCCCACGTGCCGCGGAGCGGCTGGGCCCGTAAGCCATGGCCGCTGAGCCTGCGCATCCGGAGCCTGTGCTCCGCAACGGGAGAGGCCACAACAGTGAGAGGCCCGCGTACCGGTAAAAAGAAGAAGAAGAAGAAGAATGTAAAGCTGCTTAGCACCAAGTGGAGGTTCAAAATCAAAGTGTGAAGTAGAATTGAGAGGAGGAAGGAGATGATTCTAGCTTTGTGAGGCAAGGAGAGAGATAAAGGAAGGCTGGATGATGGAGGAAGGAGAGCAGAGGCTCTAGCTTGGCAGTATTTGATTAATAGCCCAGGAGGGAGTGAAATGAAGCCCAATGAGGGAAAATCAGGGAGCTACACCAGAGTGAGTCATCAGAGGTGATTAAAGCTTGGTAATTTTAATCTGTAAGAACCTTAGTAATCTACTTGCCTACCCCCCATGTTACCATGATGCAGCAGGTAGAATTTCTAGGAATGCTCCCCAAGATGTCCTACCCTAATCTCTGGAGCCTGTGAATGTGATGAGATTGTCATACAACGATTGTTCTATTATATGCACAGGTGACCGTAAAATAGGGAGATTAATCAAATTACAATGAGCCCTTAAAAGCAGAGAACCTTCTCAGGCTGGCGGCGGAAGAGGAAGGCAGAGAGGTTCACAGCATGAGAAAGACTCAACATACCATTCCTGCTCCAGGAGCAGCCCCTGGCTGATAGCCAGCAAGGAACTGGGGGCCTCAGACCTACAGCTGCAAAGAACTGAATTATGCCAATACCAAGAATGAACTTGGGAGAGAACCTTGAGCTCCCGAGGAAAATGCAGGATGCCAGCACCTTGATTTCAGCTGGATGAGGCCCTAAGCAGAGAACCTTGTCACGCCATCCCAGATGTCTGATATACATAACTGTGAGATAATAAAGAGGTGTTCTTTTAAGCTGCTAAATTTGTTAGAGCAGCAACAGGAAACTAATACATGTGTCCTCTTAGATGCTGAAGCCCAAAGAGTGAAGTGGTTGTTTTCATGCCACACAACTGGAGAACCGGTCAAGCTCATGTGTTTTGACTCTTAATCAAGCCCTCTCTCTACCCAGGCACACTTCCTAGGGATATGCATCTCTGGGATACAATAAATGCTCATAAGAATCATAAGAATCAATAAAATAATATT